TTCATGAGGGAAAGCTAGTCTGTGTATTTGTTGAGTCCTAGCCCAAGACGATTAGTAATGGTCGAGGGTACCGTGCCTTTGACAACATCTAGACATGATTCTGCTGTCATCTCCAAGCCGGGTGTGGCAAAGAGATTGCTGAGACATCAGGTCTTTCATACTCTTGGCCCACTTGCTGCGTTTGACATAGTCAAGCCGGTATCTTGCTCGTGCTGCGGCGTGCGGATCCTGATAGCATTTGATGAAGAGTTCCTCGAGTGCAGTGATCTCAGTGGCCTTTAGCCACTTGTTCATGTCCAGTCTGGCGTATCCGGTCTGTATGGCTTGGAGCTCAACCCAGCTCCGTCTTTCGGGCACGACATTGGTTCCCGCGACAACTGATTGAGTAACCGGGGGAGTTCCCAAAATGTTGAAGTATGCTCGCGTAGCCGTGAGCCAGGACATGCCATCGTCCTTCCCGTTGTATCTAGGCGGTAACACGGCCATTTTCTTATCCACATAGGGAAGGTCACTAGGACCAGGATCCGCAAAGACTGAAACCGGGGCTGCACCGGTTGCAGAGCTCCCTGTGCCACTACTTTGTGCAGCAGCATTGGAAGGTGCACCTGTTGCAGGTCCCATACTCATCAGAGGGGGGCATAGGTGGTAGATAGGCAGCGAAACTCGATGCATTTGGAAGATGTGGGGGGTTAAGGTTAGTCTGCTGCAGATCTACTATTCGCTGCAACTGGCCACTGTGCCTCTTTTCCATCCGGGCTATGGTATCCCGCAGGTCTTTCATCTGATCAAACAACTGGGACACAAAGCCAGGGAGAGTGCTCATCATGTGGCAATCGATCAATTGCAAAAAAAAAAGAATGAGCTTGAGACGAGAGAGGGACCAATGATAATTCCCTTCTTCTTGCCAATCACTCTCCTCCTCCTTTTCTCCTCCCCTTTTATTCAAACAATAGATACCAATAATAATGTTGAATGGCTGAACCAGAATCAATGTCCGAATCCCTCTTCTACTGAAGGCACAGCATGAGGTCCACCATAGCCATGGTCACCCTTCTTCTTCCACTTCATGTAGCACAAGGCTATGTCGGACTACTAGGGCCTCACCCTGCTTGTGCAAAGGACAACACAAAGCAGCTATGCTCGCTGCTATTCAGGCCGCCATGCCTGACTCTACGTTGAAACCTTCTTGGTGCGACGCAACTCCAACTGGGCCTTCCAGATGCAGCGCCTAACAAGGTGAGGACGATGGTGCCCACCATAGCCAGGTAGTTACCTCGCCACTCTCCTCCCTAGCCCCCTTCTTCCTCCTAGCGCTGCTCTGCCCAGTGCTCCTCCCTGCTCCAGCACTCTGAAGGCTGGTGCTCGCTCAAGCAGCACAACGTCCAAACTTGCATACTGCAAATGAGGAGTTGCACTTCACTCCTCCTAGACATATAGCGACCTACTTGCCTCTTGGGCGGTGACTTCCTAGGCCGCTGCGGCCTCCAAGCAACCGCGGTACCTCCTCCCTTTCGGAGGGAAACATCACTGCAGACTCTGATATTTCCTTTACAGGCCTTAGACTCAGAGTGGTTGGACTGGTACCTGCGTAGGCCTAGCCTACAACTACTGGGCCTCTAAAAATGCCACTTTCGTCTTCTTCTGCTCAGCCTCGAGTACCCGGCACTTGGTGTGGTACCGGCCTACCTGCTACTTGAGTGTTCTTCGGCTGTTCTAAGTGTCGGGGGCCTCTTGCCCCGCCGCTCGAGTGTTTTCCCCCGCTGCAACCCTCAATGTCACGGCCACAGGTAAGTGCTGGCCCTACGGGCCTTCCAAGCAAGCAAGTACCCTTGCGGGCCACACACACACTCAGGCCAACAAGCACTGAGACAGGCACGCAGACCATCAAGCACGCACACACACACAGACTTAGAAAATTCAGCAGAATGCGGGAATCTCAGCAAGGCATCCATTCCAGCGGCAGAACTCAGAAATTAGCAGTGTTCTCAGTCTGTGTTTTGGCGGGTCATTACAATAGCAAGGACCATAACAGTATAACTAGATTTCTTTTTATCCTTAAGAATTGAATTGGGATCACTAGCTCCAAGGTGAATGTTTGCATGCTTGTTGATTATGTTTCCTCTACCACCAGAGATTTTTATTAATGATGTTCATAGTTTCCACCGGTGCTCAGAGTCTTTCTAACCCCTAGGCTTTACATCTTATTACCAGTCTGGAAGGGGGATCTCATTATGCTTCTTGTTCTCTGTCTGGTTGTGACCCTGTTGGAACCAGACAATAACGTTGTCAGCGAACCAGCACCTTTTTCTGGTCTGGCTCCTGTTGCGGGCGAGCTGGTCCGGTTTTGCCTGTTGCTTGCCCTCCATCACCCAGGAGTTAAAGAGGAGGGACTGCCTCAACTGGAAGATTCTTGCCTCAAGAGAGGCCCCTCAAGAATGAACCCAGAGGAAGGAAGCCTGACTCCTCTACTCAGGTGATGGTATATCCAATCCTTTCAACCTTACTATGATAATGTCTTTCCCTCGTTGTTAGCTCATTCGCGCAGTTGCTTCTCACATACTCTGTTCCTCAGTAGCTCTTTCGTACTGTTACAGAATTTGGCGTACATTCAATCATTCCAGAGATCAGACACGCATTTCATGAGCATCAAAATTTCTTCTTTCGTTGCCCTCTCTATCCTTAGTGATCCCTTTTCAGGGTCTCAGCATGAATCTCAGCTGGTCATGCGGCTCCCTCTTTTTGCGTAAACATATCACAAAAAGGCTGAGCAAACAATGTATATGTAGGGTGATGCCCTAGTAGTCCAGATATGTGCTCCGACAATGTCTTCAAGTGCAGTATCATCGCTCCAGTGTTGCTAATATTAATTGCTCCAGCACGCTAATTGAAGATATTTGGAGTGTGGATTCCACTACCCATTCCTTCATGCTTTCTTGGAGGATATCCTTTTTCTCTGCTTTTATGCACCTGGCAGCTGTCTGCTGAAACAAAACTGCACATATTATTGAATACGTTGAACACTGCCCGTGGAGTACAACTATGTAAGGGTTTTCCCTTTCTGCATCTCTTGTGTGTGCTTGGCTGATCCCTTAGCCGAAGGAGTGTGGGAAGGTGGAAATTCACCGTACGTGCATTAGTGATCTTTTGTGGATGGAGGCAGTAAGTTCTGCGTGCACTCCTTTCTTCCTTGTGTTTTTAAAATCTGAAGGCCAATGTATGTTCTTCATCTTTGCAGGCGTGCTGGTTTCCTCCCCATACATTAGATTCATCCAGTGCTATGTAGAGGCCCACATTTACATTAACAATTTGACATGGAGGATACCAATAGTGTGATGTGTGGTCAGATAGTGAGTTGCCGATAAGGTTGTACAGGCCATTCCTGCAACGGATATCGTCTAGGAGTACTCATGCCCTTGATGTTGACCGCACCACATTTGGTGATCAACAGATTTGGCTGGTCTAGCGTTATCCACTGAGAAGCCTCCCCATAACCAAGTTGATCAGTTTAATATCTGATCCATGGTCCATTGTGCAAGGAAAATGAGCGATAGCGAAATGACAGAATTCCAGAATGCAGTTTCACATTGAAAGCCAGAAAGTCCAACACTGTCCAGAAAGCAGAAATGCACTGATATTCCACCAACGGAGAACCAAAGCACCAAATCCGAATGTCAATGAGAGCATAATCTCGCCACCACCAACATATGTATCCAGAGCCCTTCCTTCTACGTGGCGCTCAGCGCTCAGACTACTTCTACACAGCTACTAGCAGCCTACGAATCGGCAATGCATCCTGTTGACGTCAGCACCAACAAACGCAGTGCATGAAGATGTCGACCCTTGTAGACCATCGCCAAGACCAGGTACGTGGCCTCACATCATCAACCTCATCTCTCTCTCTCTCTCTCACCCTCGTCTTCATCACCCACGTCTCCCTTCCCATACACGAAGACCACCAACACCCGCTGTGTCCAAGCCCCAGCCTGGCTATGAAGGCTGGGCTATGGCGCTGCCCTCAGCAACGCCCTGTATCCTCTCGACGCCCATCCGCGCCCACACCTCGTGCTAGCGCAGCAAGCAGTCCGCGAGTCTAAGCTCCAGCAGCGCTGCCGCCCGCAAGTGCAAGTGCCCCAGTGCTCCCCCTGCAACCTGCCTCTTTCCTATATGGAAAGAGGCGGGCGCTTGCCTTTGCTATACCCACGTGAGACCGAGTTTCCAGTAGCTTCAGTCTCGGCCAAAGTGTCTGCGCCCAGGCCCGATTCAGACAGTGGCCTGGGACTGAGTTTGTTAGGCATGCCCAACCACCCAGGCACAAACGTGCAATGCTCCCTGCTCCGACCACGTTCCTGGAAGAGCCTGGAAGGCTCACAAATATTTTGGATTCTCACGAGCAAGGCGGACCAAGATTTGCAAAAATTGACGAGTTCAGGGCGCATTGAGATTCAGGGGGCCCACCTTCACTTAGGGCACGCACGCGCCTGCTGCAGGTCCCTATGCCGAGGCATGAACCCTCACAATTGGGCTAAAAAAAAGAGAAAAAAAAGAAAAAAAACTAGGCTGTTTTTCTGGGCGTCCAGGCACCCAACTTATGCCCGGGTATACGCCCGGGTGCCCAGCCGGTCATTATCCCTGGGCAGGGTTCCGGGCAGCCTCAGCGCCAAAAAGCAAAAAAAAAGCAAAAAATTCCGGAAAAAACAACTTGTGTAGAATTGCAATACAAAGTTTTACAAATGACTTTGGCTGAGGGTCACATTAGAATTCCCCACAGAATCTGAGATGAAAAAGAAAATAACAGAAACCCCTCTTTAAAGTTTAAACCCCTTTAGCCCCTCTAAAACCAATTTATACCCCTCTCCGCCCCCTTGACAGCCAACGTGCAAAAAAAAGAAATGAGCCCGGATTTGGGGTCCTCTGGGAGAGCGCAGAAAACCATTTTGATCTGAGTTCTTTGCATTAAAGGCCTAACCTACACAACCTTTATTTTGTGCCTACCTGTGCAGCAAGACTCAGAGCTTGTGGATGTCAGATGGGAACAGGAGCACAGCCACATGGAGGTATATATCAAATCTATTTAACCTTCTCCGGTTCTGAAAAGCAAACAATATTGCTCAGACTCGTTCTGTCTACCTGGCTGGGCTTGTGGACCACCTCCAACTCCAAAATCAAGAGTATTGCTTTGTACTTGGTCTGTCTACTTGGATGAATTGCACCTTGTGGGAGAAGGCTCCATTGTGGGCTTAGGGGAACTGAGGAACTCTGAAGTTACAAGACAGGTCTAAATGGTTGCCTTCTTCATGCAAATATTGGATGCAGAATCTTTGGGTGTATGGATGGGCACTGGGCCGGTGCCTGAATGTGGGCGATGTGTTGACTGGATGGTATGGGGGTGAGGGGTGGGGGAAGGGGGCTTTAGACATTGGGTCTATTGGGTCTCCTACAGTTCTGTGTAGCCTATAGGATTATCGAGGCAGAGTTAGTTTGCCTCACATCTTATCATTGTAGCCTGCTGTAAATACTTGAGTCAGCTTGACGGCTTTCTTGGGCTTGCGATGTCCTTTCAGTGTCAGACAATGGACTCTATGAAACAAATCCTTCCTGGAAACCAGTCTGCTTCGGCCAGACCCAGTGAAACAGCGTTTCTGAACCCCATGAAAAAAATTGAAGATGACCGCTAGTGATTACTCTTCTGCCGTGACCGAGCCTACAGAGGGCATTTTGCTCTTTAAACCGCCAGTACATCGCACAGGCAAACTTTATAATTGAAATCGAGCCAGTCTGAAAATTTTGGATGCTTGGGGCTACCGGACAAAAATGGTTGGCGCAAAACAAAAAAAGAAAGTGCCGTCCCAGGCGTACTTCTGATCAAGGAGTACAAGGGTGCAGCCAATGTCAGGGCAAATAGCAGTGTTGTAGTCCCCAGGATATTTCAAAACTGCTTTGCTGTTCGCTGAAATTGCTGAGGCCTATTAACCTGCCCGTTGGGACTCTTGAGTGCCTTGAAGGTGTGGTTGCATGTTCTTCTGTCTTTGATAGGAGCCATTTTGTTTAACCGCTTCGGTTCTCTCTGAGAAATTTGTTTCAAGCACCTGAGAAATGTCTTGAACTTGCCACTCCACAGCAGGCGAACTCTTACCTGATTGGTCCCATGCCCTGGGAGACATCTGAAGCGATTTCCCAGGCTTACTTCTGACCAAGGAGTACAAGGGTGCAGCCTATGTCGGGGCTAATAGCAGCATTGGAGTCCCCAAGATATTTTAGAACTGCTTTGCCGATTGCAGAGATCACAGAGGGCACAAAGGTGTGGTTGCATGTGTGCAGGCTCGTAGTCGTTTGTTTGTGTACCTGTTTGCTGTTGAGGGTGTGAGAGAGGGTGCCTTGCGGGCAGGTGTGTGTGTGTGTGTGTGTGTGTGTTTCGGATTTTCACCACAAGAGCCCGTATTCCACCCAGATGAGTGGGTCCGAAACCGAAGCAGCTTTAGTCCTATTGCAGACAATGAAAACTTCAGACAATCCAACAATGAAACACTTTTACCTCCATAGCAAGCAACATGGAGCACAATAGATCCGTTTTAATCGCTTTCTTAAATGTGTTCACTTTGGCTTTCTTTGGGGTACTCCTTTCATTTATTCCTTCATTTTTACTATGCCTCTCATGTACAAGGCTGGCCATGTTGATTGTGCTTGAGTGTCAGCTGCCCACAGCCCTGTGTGCCTTAATGGCACACTTGCACGTTATGAAAGGTGGCAGAGTAAAGCCTGTTCATTTTACTTCAGATCTTCAGCTCATATTCTGTCTGTTCTCTAAGTGATGCTCATTCGTGTGCATTTACCAGTAGCACACAACGGAGGAAGGTAGGGGGTAGGAGGCGGAGTTCTATAGGGAGTGAGGGGCAGGGGAGGGGGAAAGGGTAAGGGGGGGGGAAAGGTAGAGGAGGAAGTGAAGTGGGAAAGGACAGGACAAATATATGATGTATTTGAGAGGGTTCTAAATACTCACGGCTGGAGCAGACCACTCTAGAATGGCGCAAGAGGCCACTCAGTGCCTGGGTTGTAGAAGATTTCGAGTTGAGGACCAGCTGTTGCATATGGTAAGTGGCCACACCTACAGACCAGACAGGACCAGTTCGGGTGTGGACTCCAGAAGCACCACATCCAATTCTTGCAGTCGCAGTTGCTGCATGGAATGGCATGGCGGAGACAGATGTCACAGGCTACATGGCTCGCACATGCTAGAAACACAGAGGCGCGCTGACTGCAATTGTAGAGGCATTGCCGTTCCAGCCCCTGTCTACAAATTGGACATGACATGTCAGGGTGCCGTACGTGAGTGCAGTGTTGACTGTCATCATACGTATGAAAACAGAAAGTTGCATGGGCTATCCCTTCATACTCTCACGGCACAAGGGATGTGAAGCATATGCTACCCGGATTTGCAGTGGGTCATCCAAGAGAGGCATTGAGCAGGTTTCTTGGGTTTCTCCAGCATTTATTCCCTCTCTATGGGCAGACAACAACAGGGGTTGATCCAAAGCAAGGGTGTTTAGCTGATACTGGATTCGGTCTAAAACAGCTTGCCCCGGTGGTGATAACCTTTCAGTACAGTGCTCTGTAGATGGTTCATTTGGTAGTCTATTTTCGTCCTCAGGCTGTTGCATCTGTCGTTCGTCTGGCAAGGATGAAGGAGATCCGACTGCGATTACAGCAGGTGTGGGGCCAACATTGCATGTGGGACATGCTAGGAGAGGATGTGGCGAATGATGCCATCGGGGATAGTCCACACAGTAGAGACACATACTTTGTATGACAGCTTCCTGGAAACATTGACGACACATGGCAATTGCTGACATGTCAGCAGGAAAGCAGGCTGAAGTTTGCAGCTATTCAGGCATGTCATGTCAAGGCCACGGCGGCATGCTGGGCAAGTAATTAGGGGATGGGAGGGAGGAGCACAAGAAAGGGTCACAGTTTTCGCTGCGAAGGCTGGCAGCGACCATCCCTTCATAAGTTCATAGTATTTGGAGCAGAGACTATCCTGTGCGTATGCTAACAGAACTGTAGCCATGAGATGACAGAAGGGGATGGCACAACCATTGTTTTCTAGAGAGGCCCCTTCACTGTCCGTGGTAGGATCCGTCCGATATACAGAGGGAGGGAATGCTGCCTGGCCTTGCACAGGGGAAGGAGGTTCAGCTGGATTGCTCTCCGGAGGCTGTGGAGCTTGTGAGTGCCCATTGCAGTTTTGCCCTGAACAAAGATTTGATGAAGTGACCTGCGGGCACGTGTGTGTATGTGTTTGAAAACCTCAAATTCTCTCTCTCATTCCATCAAGGAATCATCACAAACCATCCATAAAACAAAAAATTGAGAAACAGTATAGTAGAAGATGCAAGGTTGGCCACGTTTGTGTGGTTCAGCACCAAGTGGACACACACCCTCCTGCTGTGCAACCGGCACCTGTGTGTGTGTGTGTGTGTGTGTGTGTGTGT